TGGGGAAGAGATACATCTATCTCTCCACAGGGCTCTAGTCTCCCTCTAGTCTTGGTGGGTGACTACTGTGCTCTCTGTTCATCCTTCAGCCCCTCAAAAAGTTCCCTGAAGCAGGCTGGAGAGGTGGCTCAGCAGTTAAGATCATTGACTGCTCTTCCAGTGGTCCTGAGTTCAGTTCCCAGCAACCACATGATGGCTCACAACCATTTATCGCGTGATCTGCTGCCCTCTTCTGGCGTGCAGGTGTACATGCAGATAGAGCACTCATACATAAAATAAATGAATCTTTTAGAAAAACCAACAAGAAACAAAAAGCGAAGTCCCCTGAATCCCACGAGATATTAGGGCCTGCCTATACACTAGCGCAACAGCAGACGATATCCTTCCTTCATGGAATTCATTGGTTTAGAGGGGAGCAGAAAGGCAATTACACAGCTTCTGCATGGTAAATGGTCATGTGACAAATGTCCAGGGCTGATGGATCCTAAGAAACCAGAAGCTAAAGTGCCTCCCACCTGGGCCAGCAAGTCATTCATGGTCTCACTGCTTTCTTCATGGTTCCGTCCCAGGATCCGAAGCAGACGAAGTATCTGGACCTGAGATTGGATTAGAGAGGTTCAGAGGATAGTGTCATGGGCTTGAGGCCAAAAGAGCTAACAGTGTGGAAAACACTGTGAGGACACCAACCCCCTTTCACCTTACAGGTCCCTTGGAATCCCGGAGGATATCAGAGTTTCGGAGAGTCAGGGGAGTTTGGAACAAGTTTTGTTGTTGTTGTTTTTGCTTTTCGAGAGGCTTCTCTTGTGTAGTCCTGGCTATCCTGCAACTTACTCTGTAGACCATGCTGGTCTCAACTCACACAGATTCACCAGTCTCTGCCTCCCAAGTGCTGGGCCTAAAGGTGTGTGTCCTCACGCAGGGCTTTGGACCAGGCTTTTTCTACGGTCACCAAACTGGATTTTCTGACTTTCTGGTATCCACCTTCCGTTCCCCAGTCCTGGCATGACTAGAGCAATCCTCAGTTTGCTCCTTTCTTATTCAACACAGACTGTGCCAAAATGGGAAGTGACTACTGGCCGGGGTCTTCCTGTGAACCCTTCTCTGTTCTGGGGGTACAAGTTAAGGTCTGCCCACCTGCAAGAAGGGATCGCTGACTCCAGAGATGCTGTGCTCTGTGGAATATCCTGTCGTCACCAGAGTCCGGAGGATCTGTACCAGCTGGGGGACTACCTGGAGGGAGGGCACACGCAGCCTCGTCTGGGTATTCTTCTCAACCGTCATTCCCAATTCTTCACCCACCATCCACCTTTGCCTGCCCCTCGGCCTGCCGGTTCACTATCCCACCTTGCGAAAGTGCCTGAGGGCCGCGGGGCTTCTCTCACAGAGCTCGGTGATCAGCGTGATGGTACCCAGCAGGATGCCTGGGGTCAGGGTGGGGTAGTGAATGGTGGGCCAGGCCAGGGGACAGTCTACTGCACACGTGTTTGTATGTGCGTGCCACCCTTGTCCGGTGAGCATGTTTCCCTGATTTGCTTTTCGTCTATTCATAGCGAGACCTGGAGTGGAGGGTGGAGAGCCCTGTGCCCTTACCATGATGGCGTTCGTGGAGCAGCGTGGCACAGGGTGGGAGGAAGATGTTGGAGAGCTCAGGGTCTTTCCGGACCATATGCACGGCGGTCAAAACAGCCTGCAGAAGTCGCCGGGTTAGAGTTCACACCTCCTCCACACGGCAGTGTCGGGGTACAGTTTCTGGAAAGGCGAATGCCTAGAGGCCCACATCTCACCTTCTTCCGCACATAGGGGCTGGGCTGCTGCAGCAGCTTTTCCACCTCGGTGGCTAGGTCCCGGCACATCTCAGCAGAGCCCATAGTGCTCAGGGTGCACAGGGCCAGGCCTTGAACGGGCTGAACCCCTTGGCTCAGGTCACTGAAGGGTTGGAAGGGTGGAGGTGGGTCAAGCCTGGGGAAACCAGTGTTTTCCAGGACCGAGAGCAGGCAGACCTCTGGGATTTTGCAGTTCCCTCTCCCAAGAGCCCTGGGATCTCACTTCTTGATGCTGTTGGTAATGAGCAGGTGGGCATCATGCCTTTCGTCCAAGAGAAGCATGGCACCGAGGTAGCCCACCCTCTTGTCTGTGAATCTGGGGGAGGCGATCAATTTCAGGCACTCCATCTACACGGAAGAAGGCAGACCAGGAAGGGCAGTGTGAAACCCCAAGTACTAACTTCCCGGCGACAACCTCCTTATAAGGCCAGATTAACTTGTGAGGAATATCGTATTTCATCGCTGTCTCTGCAACCAGAAGCTTAAATGTCGATCCAGATGACAGCAGGTGGGTTTCGGGGACCTGTGTAGGAGTTGCTGGGAGAGGATGGGTAGGTGCTGAACGCGGCTGCCTAAGGAAATCACCAGTGGGGTAATGGATAAAAGGCTCAGAAACTAAAGGACTTAGCTGGGCAGAGCGGGAAAAGCCTGAAAATTCCTCTACTGAAATGGAGGCAGGGATTTTCCCGAGTTCTAGACCAGACTGGGCTACACGGAGAACCTGTCTCAAAACGAACAAAAAACTGGAGGAAAAACCACAACGGAACCACATCTGGGGTACAAATACGCAACGGGGCCGACTGGCCATCTTCCTCAAACTTTGTAGCTATCCCAGGTCAGTACCTGCCCAAAGTGGGCGGGGTAGCCCAACATATGGACGTAGAGCAGTTTGGCCAGCTGGCGATGCCTCTGCAGGGGGTCCCCATCGCGGAAGGAGGCCCGAATTTGGGCGCACTCCTTCTGGATCACCTCCCGTTCCTGGGCCTGCGTCTTGGCCCCGCGAATCTCTTCGATGAGGTCCTGAAGTTTCAACGAAGGCACCACCATCCTGGGGGCAGAGCCCGGGAGTGGAAAGGCTGTCACACGTTCTGGCCGGTTGGACAGAATTGCCCTGTGCCAAGATCTCCACTGGCTTGTGCCCAACAACTACCCTACCCTAAAACTGTGCCCACATTTACCCACCACCTGGATCCGAGAGCCACCCTCCCGCCTTGCAAGGACATCCCCTCTACGCATGCGCCTTTGCCCCACCCCGTGCTTGTTTCTACCGAGCCTGCGCAAGAGCTTAATGTATGTCTTGCTTTCTTTCCCGGACCCGTTTCTCATGTCTAGTTTTCTTCCTAGTTCCCCCGCGCTATTTCCTTCGCGAGATTTCCTGCTCCCGTTCCCATTATTGGAGGCACGAGTTTCCCAGTCCCAACCTCACCTGGCTTCGGTGTCAACTCTGCTTCCTTACCCCCCACCCAGCACTTCCTGGTATGGGACAGAGCTGGGGTTGGTGCTCGGTTCGGGTCCTTCCCTCTTCCCCGCCTCTACCACGGACCCCGCCCTTCTAGGGCCGCCTGACTGAGCTGTCTTGAGATTTCTGACCTCTGGCCTGTCTTTGGCACTTTGGTAAAGGAGCCCCAGAATTTATTGTGGCTCCCCAAAGGGGCCTCCTTTTTCTTCCACCCCACCGGGTGACTCAGAAAGGTTGAGTTTGAAGCCATCGCACCCCAAAGGAGATGAGAGTCCCCCCCTTTTGGAACTTTTTTATTAATATATTTTTTTTTTGTTAAATTTCTTTGTATTTTTTTTTTTTCCTGCAAGACTTGGTGTTGGCGGCACTGTTGTATAACTTCAATCCCAAATTCCATGAAATAGAAATCAGAAGTAAAGGTTGAGAAGGGAGGGAGGAGGAAGGCAGGCCAAGGAGTAAACAGAGGCTGACTAGAAAAATAAGAAGAGTGTGTGGTGGGCATTCCTGGGCAAGGCCATTCCTTGAGGAAGGGGGTTGGCAGGCAGCTTGCCTCTGCCTCATGCAGGGAAGGAAAGTTCCCTCAGGCTCTACCGTTCCCTCTTGTAGAGCTTCCTATCCCCAGAGGAAAAGCTAGGGACACGGATAGGCCAGATCTCAAACAGGGCTCTTCCCCCACCTCTCACCTGGGGTTGACGCCCACCTCTGCCCTGCCTGCAAGTGTGGGAGGCACTGGCTTCCCGCACATCACACCAGAAGATGCGATGGGTTACAAATGACTAGACTTGTGCCCTCCAGCTCTTATCTTACTTGTGCTCCCCACGACCGCCAGAACTGAGGAGTGGGGTCCTTGCTTGCTCCAATGCCTCTAACCCTCTGCAGAAGTGTCTTCTTCAGGCCCCTTAGGAATTTCATCAAAGGCCACAAGTGAGTCCAGACCAACCAAATGAAGTTTTAGGGGGCAGAGAAGGGTAGAGCAGTGAGTGGCAGAGTCAGAGAGGGGAGGGCTCGGTGCACCAGATAGTTGTTGCTTTTCACACTGCTCTTGGCACGACATGCCATCCTTGGTGGTTGGAGGAGGGGACTGGCTGAGGAGGAAAGGAGAGGGGGCATCCAGGGAGTTTTCTGTTGTTCACTCCCCCTTTCTCCTTCGGGGAAGGATCAAATTGGGCAAGAACTTAGTTGGGTTCTGAGGTTAAGAGTGGAGGTGAGTCTTCCCACATCTTTCTGTTTGGGCCAGTAAGCCCCAAGTGACTCAGCCAGGGCCTTATCTGGCATTTGGTCACCTCTTACTCATTTTCTTTCTCCCCTCCACTCAGATTCCAGGAGACTCCTCAGGGTACCAAACCCCCACCCTTGGTGAAGTTTTGATTTAAAGAAAAGGCTGGGGAGGGCATGGGGCGGGGAGAGCAATGGTCTGACCTAGATTTGTGTATCTCAGAGAAGAGAGCATCTCTGAGAGAGAACAGCCCTTCATATGTAAACAATCTAGAGAGTAAAGGGGTTGGGGCAGGGAAGAAAACAAGGAAGACGGGAGACAGGTCCAGAATAAATGAGACCATCTCAAAGAGGAGAGGGAAGGGAGAAAGAAGCAAGAGACAAAAAGAAAGGGCACAGAGGAAAGGAGAGGGGAAAAAACACAACTGGGAGGAGGAAAAGAGAAGGCAGGTCAAAGTGGGTAGAGAGGCAGGCAACCAAAGCCAGGAGGCCAGGATGTCGCCTCAGGTGAGGAGCTGGGAGAACAGGAACGCCAGGCTGAGGTCCAGCAAGGCCACGGCTCCCACCACCAGGGGGTTGGCAGCTCCCTAAAGAGACAGAGGATGAAGTGGATTCAGTCCTTTTAGCAGAGTACAGGTCCCCCCAGTCCTGGCTTTATTGGCAAAGCCGAAGGGTCCCAGAGACCTCCCCAAACAGGGAAGAGGAGAAGAGCCACCCCCCTCATTTCAAACAGTGAAGGACTTCCCTTCTCCTGCTGCCTCCACCCACCCGCCACCACCACCACGGCTCTTCCCCATCCTCAGCATATCATGTGGGCAAGGCAGAAGGTGGCTGGCCTTAGTAGCAGACATTGGCAGCCGCTGCCAGTGCTGCAGTCAGGCAGAGGGAGGAAGGGGTGAGGGTGGATGTGGTTGCTAGGAGATGGGAGAAGGCCTGGAATCCAATCAGAACAGAGGGTTCTGGAGAAGCTCTCCGCCTCTCCCGATTTTCTGTCTGCCCCCCCCCCCCCACTTTCCTTCTTCCCTGGAGAAGGAGGGAGAGTGCGGGTTGGGAGGGACATTTTTTTTTCCTATTTCTGGGCACCAAAGAGAGAAAGTATGGAGGTGGGGGTGGGGGTGGAGCAGGAAACTGGGGCTGGAAATGATATGGAAGGAGAACAGAAAAAAGTGCTCTGATCCTACCATTAATTATTATTATTAGTTTACAGCTAAGGGTAGGTTACTTAAGTTCTCAAGGCCTGTCCCCCAGCTGTCCACTGGGAGGGCTGGGTTTCAAGGTCTCCAAGGTTCCTTTGAACTGTAAAATTATCGTTTGTATGTAGTGGGATATGGTCCAAGACTAGCCAGGCAGAGAGGAAGCTGAGTGGAAACAGAAGCTCCCTGGGGGATTACACTGAAGTCTGGAGGGGTGGGAAGCCGGGCTTTGAAGAAGGCACACGGGGGCTCACCGGCTGGGCAGGCCTCTCGGTGGCAGCAGGCTCCTCAAAATCTTCTGTCAGGCAACCAGCATCAGGACCCCTTGAAGACAGGCCCCTCAAAACTGGCGTGGTGACAGGCTCAGATGCTGGGGCTACCCTCAGCTGGGGCAAGGGTTCCTCATCTTCCCCTTCCTCCTCTCGAAGACTTCCGGAACTGTCACTGCAGCCTCCGAGAAGTGGGGAACCATCTCTGGGTTCGGGACCCTGCATGCCAGCCTCATCCTCAGCCTCATAGCCAGCTAGTTCCTCTGCCTGCTCACCAGGACCCCCCCACTCCTCGGGCCAAGCTTTAGAGCTGGAGAAGGGACCCCAGGTCCCTCCAGGAGGCAGTGGGCTCCGGCCGGCAGGGGCTCGCCAAGGTTGGTGGGAGGAGGCAGGGCTGCTGGGCAGTTCCGGAGAGCCCTCCGAGGGGGTCAGTCCATTCTCGTATACCCCGGGGCTGTCTTCATCCAAAGGCTCTGTGTCAGAACCTCCCGAATCTTGTCTGGGTCTGCGGCCTGGGCGGGAACAACTAGGAATCAGTGGGGTTTAACCGGCCAGGTGCTGGAGAGGCTGTAGCTTTACCCCTCCATTAGCTCTTTCCAGGGGTCTGGTTACCTCCAGGCCCACAGTTTGTCATCACCAGACCTCAAACCTCCCATTATCCTGCCTCACACATTGTTGGTTCCACTTCCAAGACACCCTCCATCCCTTTGGTTTTCTTCCACTCCCCCCCAAGATCTCCAGGTCCTCCCCCACCACCCCATGAGCCTCTCCAGCTCCCCTACATAACTCCTCCCTCCCACAGGGTGCCCACACCTCACCTGGGGCCTCTAACATGGGCTGTAGGTCCTGGGCTATCAGCTTGGCCATCCGTGCTGCCTCCACCGCCTTCTCAGCGACGCTGCTGGCTGCCACTGCTTTTAGGAGGGCGTCTGCTGCCCTGTTGGGTCCCAGGGACAGGGACTTGGCTGACCTTCCCCCACGTCAGTGTATTCATGCTCTGATGCTCCAGCCCCTTGCCCGGTCCCCACCACATCACATTCGCCTGGTTGGCGCCACCTCATCCCTCATCTGTCTGCACAGAGCCAGCTGCTGTCGTTCCTCAGCGGGCCAGGGCAGCTCTCCCGTCTGGTTTCCTCACCTAGGCCCAGGCTGCAGTCATCACACTCCCCTCTGTCCTCTCACACCCTTCTACCCTTACTGCCCGTAGTAACACTTCCTTCTCCCAGTTGCAGCTCCCTTCCCAACTCCGTTTATCCAGTGATGTCCTGCTCCTGTTTAATGAGCCTTTGCTTTCTTGGCAACTCCTTGGCAGTCCTGTTGCTACCTGCTCTGCAGTTCAGTTACCTCTTACCACCCCCTCCTGACCCCTGGTGGCAAACATCTCTCTGGGATTTAAGGCACTCCTTACCCTGCTCTAATAGCAGCCTGCTCCCCATCTGTTCAAGCAACCCTTCCTTTCATCTCACCCACTTTGCACTGCAAGCCCTCTTTATTTAATCCTACTTAGACCAGTCTAGATTCAGAAGAAGTTTTCACCTTGCTCTTGTTTGGCTTCTTCTGTTATCACATCACTCCCCTCTGTTCCTGGCACTGCCTCCCCCTCCCCTACTCTAAGCACCTCTGAGATCTAGAACTCTCTCCCTCTCCCTCTCCCATAGACCAGATTGGCCTCAAACTCAACATGTGGCCACGGCTTCTTTCTGACTCTACGCCCCAAGTGTTGGGATTAAGGCATGAGCTTGGAGCCAGAGTAAGAAAGGGTCTCTCTCTCTCTCTCAACAAACAAACCCCCTCTCCCTGCCACATTTTCTCGCCTTTGCAGTCCCTCCTGTGCAGATTCCTACCCTTCCTTCTGTGCCCCACTTGCTTTCCTAGCCTGCTCCTCACGCTCAGCTCACCTTAAAGCACTGTCAGTCCTTGCTCGTTCCCTTTCTAGATGCTTCCTCAGCTCTCCCTTCCATTCCACCCTCTGCTGTTAGGTGCATTCGAATCATCCAGCTGCTTGTGTAGTGCAGACTGAAGTAAGGCACAAAGGAGCAGAAATGACCAGAAGTACTGGCTCGGGGTCTGACTTGCTTAAGACTCCTGACTCCTTTTGTTCCTTGGCCCCTTTAAAATCCACCTAAGAAGGGCAGTTTGTATCTAGTGGTTGGTGGTGTCCACTATAATTTTTGGTGAACTTCCTATTCTGACCTTGGGCACGTGGCCCGCCTCTTTTCTTCAAAGCTGGTGGGTTAAGGACTTTAGAACCTACTTGGAGAACATCAGATAACCGTGTCGTATTCATAACATTTGTGACTAACCCAGTCTTGGAGCTGAGCTGCGTTCTGAACAGCTCTGAGACTCACTCTTGGGTTGCGCTCAGTTCTGTTTGTTGATGGACACAAAAACCTGTGGCTTTAGACATGGAAGGTGTGGATTATCGCGTTTAAAAAGTAGACTTAGTCTGTGCTCAGGCATCAGGCCAGATTCAGGCTACCTGTCAGATGTACCTGCTGTGGAGGCCCTGTTGTTTCCATGGCAGCCAGCAGCCAATCAGGGTTGCCAGGCCTGTTGCTGGGGAGACCAGCCAGCCTCTTCCCACTGCCTGATCTTCTAGTTAGTGAGATCAGCTTTTTTTTTTTCCTGTAACATGCCTCCACCCTATATAGCCCAAAATGTTCCACGATGTTCTGACCTCCTTCTGCCCTGGCTTAAGGCCCTAGATTCTAGGACCTATATACCCAGACACACATACACATAGATGCACATTTTTCTGGCCCAGTCGTCTGCTCAGGATTTGATGTGTTCATACTTAATCATATCCACACGTGAGCACATAAACAACAACTTGCCCATTACACAAGTTCACTGATTCATATTTGGGCATATCCTGATGGCTTCATCCTCATTAAAGAAAGCAATACACAAACATTCAAATGTGTGCAAACTGTATAAAGCAAGGGTCTCTGAGTCTCCTTCCAAATAAATTTCGGTTATTTTTAGGTCTCTGCTATCTCATTCATAGAACCATTAAGCATTTAGAATGCGGCTGCTCGCTATCAGAAATGTGCTGTAAGACTACAGACCACACTCTAAAGAATCCAGAAGGAATGTAAATTATATTATTGGTTGAAAGGATAAAATTCATTTTACTTGTTTCCTTAATCTCCACCCAAAACCACAGATGGGGTTTCTTTGTGTATCCCTGGCTGAACTGAAACTCGCCCTGAAGACCAGGCTGGCCTCAAACTCAAGAGACCTGCTTGCCTCTGCCTCCTGAGTGCTGGGATTAAAGTCGTGGGCCTGCACACCTAGCTTATGCTATATTCCGTCTGGACATTACTGCTTTTGGTAACAAGACTCTCATGCATGGAAATGTAATCTGATTCCCTGAAAGAAAAATCATCTTTAGAGATAAGACTCCTCCCTTCAAACCTGGGTGAAAAGAGCCAGAGAAGGCAGGGCTAGTAGGGAAGAGATCGCACATGTTAAAACTAGGCCTCCTCAAGGACCAATGCTGAAATAAAGTCAGGGTGGGAACTAGTGAGGAAGCAACTGCAGGGTTTTGTCCAGGATGGATGATCCCAGCCTGAGGCCTAAAGTCTGGACGTGTTGAGCAAGAAGCCCAGGGAAACCAAGAGTTTGGGGGCCAGTATTCGCTGCGCCAGGGACACACCATGGGTTCCACAGATGCACATCTCCACACAAGCAGGCTTGCTACTCAGCCACCCACCGTTACGCCCACATCCACCTATAGCCTCAGTTCTAAACACTCCACATCTTAAGGCTACAACTGCCTGGTGCTCGCGCTTCCCCAGCAGGCCGTCAGCCTTGGCTCTCGGTTCTCTCTCAAGTACAGGACCCAGAGGGACCTCTCCTCGCAACCCAACTTTGGTCTATGCACCAGATGCCCACCTGGCAGCAGCGACTTCCTGGCGCTGGCGGGCAACGCTCACAGCTCGGCGGGCACCTTCGACAGCCCTGTCCACCTTCTCCTTGACTTTGCCCCGCCTAAGGGCCAGAGGCAGGAGGCTGCGCACACGTCCCCCGTGCACAAGCCGGTTGCGCTTGTACTTGCCCTCCTCACGGGAGCCATCAGGACGGGTGGTGCGCCCGTATCCGTGCCGTCGGTTGCCCAGCCACTCGCCTTCGTAACGCAGCCCGTTGGATCGCTGGCTCACTCCGTAGCCACTGCGCCGATCGGCATGCCACTCTCCCGCGTACACCTCAGTGGCGGAGCCCTCGATGAGGGCGGGTGGCGCTGGGATAGGGGGCCCGCTGGCTTCGGAGCCTGGGGGTCCTGTACTGCCCACTTCGCTGCTCACCTCGCTGCGTAGAGATCCCCTCTTGCTGCCCAGGGAGCTGCGGCGCCCACCAGCCCGAAGCCCGCTGAGCAGCAGTGAGCGGCGGAAGAACCCACCTGCCGCTGGGGTGCGCTTACGAGAGGACGCCCCATCGGCGTCCCCTGGCCCTGCCAGCACGAAGCCGCCCCGGGAGCCGGAGGCTGGGCTGCCTCCTTCATCTCCTGGTAGGGGTAGGGGCGGAGGCGGCGTCGGGGGGTCGCTGTGGCCGGAGTCCAGGGAGGTGCGGCGGGGTGAGCGCAGTAGCGCCGCCTGGTGGTAGGGTACACTCTGGCGCACCCCGAAGCCGTGGCGTTTCCCGGCCTGCCACTGGCCTTGGTAGGTGCCTGTGGACGTAGAGGAGTGAGAGAGTCAGAGTGTTTTCTTGGGCTCCCACACCCAGTGATCCGTGGCCCCAAACCCCTTGGAAGCCCAAGCGACAGGTGAGAGCAGTGAGTGTGGAGGTCTGGGGAGGGACAGGCTTCGTTGGAAGGTGGGGAAGACAGGTAGGTAGCATAAAATGTGTGGCTTTTGGCCGTGGCAGGGAAACAGGCAGGCTGGAGTAGACGAAGGACAAGTGGCCCGGAGGCTGTGATGCGCAAGCTGACAGGTGGTAGCGTGTTAAAATAAATAAATAAATAAATAAATAAATAAATAAATAAATAAATAAATAATAGATAGATAGATAAATAAATAAATAATAAAAAATAATAATAAAAAGATGCTCATGACAGGCATACAGGTCGGCAGGCTAGAAGCCGACTGGAAGATTGTCTGTTAAGTGGAGAGGGAGGTGAAAAGAGCAGGTGGGAGGGGCAGGCAGATCTGGGTAAGGAAGCAGCCGGCAGAAGACTGTCAAATGAGGAAGTCATGAGCCTGGTGGTGCTGGGAGAGGCAGGAAGATGGGGGCTGGGGTCCTGGGCAGGGGGATGGTGTGAGGGACGGACGGGAACGCGGCACACAGAAGGCTGGCGCGCCACACGCATATGGCTGGGAAAGGAGGATGGAGGGTGGAGGATGGGAACGGCAGGGCGTGGAAGGCAGGAGGCCAGGGAAGCACGGGCGCCGCAGGCCGTCGGGCGGCGCGCGCGGACGGGCAGGCAGTAGTGGGCCGGGCCCCGCACCTCCGTCGGAGTAGGTCTCGGTGCCGTAGCCGTCCTGGAAGCCGTCCTTCCAGAGCCCGGCGTAGCGCAGGCCGGACACGCTCTCCCACACGCCGCTGCGCCCCTTCAGCCCGCCCAGCCACTCGCCGCGGTAGGTCCAGCGGCTCTTGCGCTCCACGCCCAGCCCTTCGCGCTTGCCCTGCTGCCAGTGGCCCTGGTAGCTGTGTCCGCCGGGCCCCGTGAAGACACCCAGCGACTCGAAGCCGTGCGCCCAGCAGCCGCTGTACTCTCCCTGGGCGCCGGGCCCCGTGCACACGCCGTAGCCATGTGCCCGCCCCGCCTCCCAGCCCCCCACGTAGCAGCCCCCGTCGTCAAAGTCGAACTTGCCCCCGGGGGACATGCATGTAGTTGGCGCGGCCTCAGCCCCCCAGCGGCTCAGCGCATCCTGGGGCTGGAGAGCCTGCTGGGGGCCTGGGGGCCGGGCGAGGCCTGGGGGCGGGGGCAGTTAGACCGGGGCTGGGCGGAGGGGCCCCAGCGCGGGCAGGCAGGGCCGGACCCTCATCCTGAGTGGCTGCGGAGAGAGAGGGGTGCAAGTGGAGAGCGAGGCAAGTGGAGAGCGAGGTCCCCTTCTTTGCCTTGCCGCTCCCCTGCCGGTAGCTCTAGGGCATCAGCACCGCCCTCCAGCCCTCCTCCCCTCCCCCTCCCCCCCAGGCAGCATCTTTCGGCAGCTCCCAAGCGGCGAGGGCAAGGGGGCTTTCCCATCCCTCCCAACTTGTAGAGGGCGCCTCCCGGGACTTAGGGTCCCAGCCCCGATCCCGAGTCCTACTTCTCTAATCTAGAACCCCCGAGTGTGGGGTACGGATAGCAGTTGGTGTGGTGGGGAGCTGGGAGGGGCCTGGGCAGGGTCTTCAGACACCTGCTTTGCTGGGCTATTTGGATCCCCCTGTCTGGCTTCGTTAGCAAACCCGGGTGCGGGGGGGGGGGGGGGGGGAAAAGGGGGGGGGGGGGCCCGGGCCCCGGGGGGGCGGGGGGGAGAGGGGGGGGGGGGGGGGTGGGGGGGGGGGAGGGGGGTAGGGATGGGCAGATTGGCGAAAGGGAGGGGACAGGTTACTCACCATGTGGGCTGGGGCTCAGGCCGCCTCCCGGACGCCGTCTTCATGGCAGGGTCCCTCCACTCACACCTCACCCGGACAAGCCAAGCCCCCCTCTCTCTTCCGGAGAGACCGCTACAGCCCAGAGAAGGCGGTGGGGGAAGTATGGCAGAGTCCCCTCGCTTCCTCGGCTGAAGGTGCAGGCTAGTATGGGGGGTGAGGTAGTGGCAGGGTGGAGGGGGATGAGAATAAGTGGAGGGGGGAAAATCTGCCTAAAACTGAGACAGCGAAGAGGAGCTGGGAGCTGGATGGGAGCGAGGAGGGGGCTATGAAGAGGGGGTGTTTTATTTTTTTTCCTTCTTATGGTTGGGAGAGGAAAAAAAAAAAAATCAAAATTCCAATTCCATCCCAGCACAAATCAATGTTTGCTCCAAACCCGGCATCAAGGGGGAGGCTGGGCCAGGCAGATTTAAAGGGACAGAGAGGAGCCGGGAGAAGAGCAGAGGGTGGGGAGAAGAGTCAGTGGCAATGGGGTGTGTGTGTGTGTGAGAGAGAGAGGACGCCCTGGCATAAAAAAATGAGGGCTCGCTATCCCTGAGGTGAGGAGGAAGGTAGGTGGAGAGGGGAATGGGAGGCTTAGAGACCCCCACAGTGGAAAGAAACCCTGGCATGCAGGCAGGGAGTGGAGTGAGGCGGAGGGGAGGGGAGAGGAGCTAGAGGGAGGAGTCTGAGCTTAAGATGGGGAGGCAGGGGGGGAGGCCAGAGCCAGGCGGGGGAGGAGAGATGCTGGGGAGACCGGGAGGGCGGAGGGAATACAAATAATGAGGTGCAGGGGTGAGAGCTAAGGTGGGGGGAGATACATCTGGCAGGGGAGCCGGCGGGGGAGACCCATTCCGGGGCTGATGGGAGATGGCTATTGAGAGAAGCAGGGGAGGACGAAAGGAGGGGCACAGAAACAGACAGGGAGCTGAAGAGAGAGAGATGAGAGGGAGAACGCACGCTCTGCAGAGAAAGGGCAGGCGTGGGAATACAAATCCAGGCAGGAAGAGCCCAGACTGAGACAGGAGGTCCGGAAGTGGAGTTTATGGGGACCCTGGGGAGAGGGATGAACCTGCCAGCTGCTTGGCCCCAGGCCAGGAAGCGTTTGAGCTTGGATACCTCTGTCCAGTGAGCTCAAACTCCTCCTCGAGACACTGTCCACCCTCTCAACAGTTTGAGAGGTAGCTTGAAGTGGGAGCCCTGTGAGGGGGCACCGCTAAGATAATACGCACTATCCATTGCCTTCACCAACTGCTTCCCTCTGGTTGTCCCTCTGAAGGGAGTGTCAATATTTTAATAGGGGGATAGAGCGCGCTGGGGCTCTGGAGTCTTCTGTTTTGCAACACAGAAGCGAAGACGCATAGGTTTGCCTGAGCAGGCTCTCGCTGTGGCCCTTTCAGCTCATCCCCCTCTTTCCCTGCCCACTCACCGGAGTGACAGAGCTACACCACACTGGTACTGACAGTATTCAGGCAAAAGTTGTTTTCTGTTCCCCCCTCCTCAGCTTTCTCAGGCTGCTTCTAGTTCTATGCCTGCCCCTAAGCGTTTAAGGGAAGAAGGCAACAGTGTGACTGGCCAAGTGTACTCAATCGATTTTATTTTTCTCGTAGAACCCGGTTCCTGCGGTCCACCCTTCAGCCCCATACCTGATTTCAAGAAAAAAAAACTAGATCAGATTTTTGTTTTCCTTGGTGCTGGGAGTTGAATTCTGGGTGTTGGATAAAGCAATAGCTCTACCACTGGACTCTAGCTAGCTTGGGATCATTTGAGCCCTTCAGTTCCTCCCAGGTACTTTGGTAAAATAAAGAGTACATACAAAGAATGGAAAACACACACACACACACACCCCACACCACACCACAGAATACAAACATATTGTGTGTGTGAGAGAGAGAGAGATCAGCTTCTTCAGAAGTTAATGCCTTCTGTGTAGAGGCCGTTCTTGTCTCCGCTGTGTCCTCGAGGCCAGTTGGCCAGAACCTGCAATGGATTCTCCTGCTTCTACCTCCCATCTTCCCTTAGGAGTGCCAGGCATATAAATGTGGGCCCGTGCCTCTCACTTTTTACCTTGGTTACAAGGATTGAATTCAGGTTGTAGGCTTGTGTGACAGGCTTCTGAACCACATCCCTAACTCACATGGTGACACTGTGTTTTTCTAAAAGCTTAAGCTTCCAGGGTAGGACACTTTTTTTTTTTTTTTTTTTTTTTTTTTGAGACAAGTCTTATTATGTAGCCCAGATTCATAGCATTCCCACTTCCTGAGTGCTGGGATTATAGGCAACGCCCCAATACTTCGTAGGGAACACACATTTGAAGCACTTTTGGATATAAAACATGGCGGCTGTCAGGTGGTGGAGATGCGCAGCCCAGAGGCAGAACATGTGCCTAGCGTGTGCAAGGGCCTGAGTTCAGCCCCAACACCAAAATCAAAGAACGAAAAAACCCACCCAGGGTCCTTTCGGGGTCCATTTGACGCATGGTAGGTGGTGGAGAGCTCATTCGCTCATCCTTTCCTCGGTTTCTCATTAAACGTCTGCACGTTCCCGAGCGCCAGGAGGCCTGTGTGCAGGAGGTGGGGATCCAGCGCAGTGGAGAGGCCTGGCAGGCCTGTCCAGTCTGTGAGGGCGGTGGCAAGTTCCGAGGGTGGGGAGAGGGTGCACGGATGGGACCTGATTAAGGCTGTCTCCCCCAAGAAATAGGAATTTAAGAGTGACCCACAGGGGGGTTCTGGGGCAGGCACAGTTGCACTGCTCACCCTGGTTGCTCTTTCTCCACAGGGTCTTCTTCCTAAGGTCCCCCCCTTCCCCAAGAAAAGGGAAAAACAAGAGAATTCCCGTCTCTGTCTCTCATACACAAATATACACACATCAAAGACCCGTGCCCTACTTTTAATTTTAATTTTTAATTTAAATTTATTTTTACAAATTATTATTTTATATGTAGTGGAAGGGTGTTTTGCTTGACTGTATGTCTGTGTACCATGTGCTCATGGAGTCCAGAAGAGGGCCCTGGAATGGATTCCCTGGCACTGGACGTACAGACAGTTGTGAGACGTTACGTGTGTGCTAGGGATCAAACCCACATTCTCTGGAGGAGCAGCCAGTGCTTTTAACTGCTGCACCATCTCTCTGCCCCCGTCTGTCATCTGTCTGTTTACTTTTTACAGTGTTAATGACCAAATCCATGGTCTTACCCAAGAGGCTTTCTTGCTTCCCCTCACCTCTTCTTCCCTTCCCTTCTTTTCCCTCCTCTCCCTCCTCCCCACTCTTGTGAGGCAGGGCCCCACTCTGCAGCCCAGATTGGCCTCAAATTTGCAAATTCATCCTTCTGCTTAGGCTCTCAAATGCTGAGCTTACAAACATATTCCTTCCTATCTTGTTTTTGTTCTTTATATTTTTATTTTTGCCCGGGTTTTCTTGCTTTGGCTTCTTTAGACTCCACCTGTTCCCTTTTCTGATGGAGAGAGCAGAAGTTGGGAACAATGCCTTGTTGACAGGGTAACCAAAACCTATTCTGAGGCGTAAATTAAGGTCTGGTATCTGGTGAAATCTTAAGAAAATCTTGGGAGGTATACTCTGGAATGTATGGGACACACAATCCCAGATCCACACCCCATATTTCTCTGAGGGAGCTAGCCTTTTGGCCTGTCCCTAATGGTCATTACAGTCATCTCTTTCAGAATAAGGACACTTGTTATTTTTATTTTTTTCAGAGAGTGAATTGGCTTGTTTTGTCACAATTTACAAATGTAAAAGTGTCATGGAGAAAGGAACTGGTGTTAGCTGGAGCCAGGTTCTGGGCTTGGCACGCCATCTGCATTTGCTCAGCCGGCCTTCACACCAGCTGTAACTGAGCAGTCTGGGCTGGGAGCCAAAACTGGGCTCCCTAAACGGACAAAGCTGAGCACATTACCTGATGTTTCTGAGCTGCAGCTGGCCTGTCTCTAAAATGGGAATATCACAGCTCAGCGAGGGCTGAAATGACTGTATGTGAACAGTAGGTATGATAATGTATGGGGATAAACCACTTAGGGTAGGACCCTCCCGGAGCATTTTAAGGGCCCAGCAAATGGTGCTTTGAAAAATAACCTGGCATCACTTCACTTTTGTAATTCGGCTCTAGAAGTTATTTAATGTGCTAACCTGTAACAGACCTCGGAACTTCATAGACATCAGATTCCGGAGTAGGTATGGGTGTTCTCATTGCTAAGATGAAGTCCTGACACAAGCAACTTAATGGAGCGAGGGCTTCTTTTGCCTCACAGTCGGAGGGTGCAAACCCCTCACGGGGAAGGCACGGCAGCAGGATCATGGGGAGGCTGCTAGCCTCTCTCTGGGATTGGCTGGGAAGCAGAGGAACCCAACTGAAGCTGCTCAGGCCACGTCCTCCCTTTGTTCGCTCTAAGATACAAGCCTGTGGAGCTGCTGACACCTACATGCAGAGTGGGTCTCCCAGTGTCACTTACCCTTCTCTGGGAGAACACTCATGGATACACCCAGAGGTGTGTTTCCATGGTGATGCTAAATCCTGTCACGTGGGCAAAATTATCCATGCTTTTAACAAGTACATTTGGGGAAAGTAAGACAGGCATTGCAGAATTATGAAAATCAAGCACAATATCAATAAGAAAATAGAATTCCTGTAGCCTCCTCTATAATAAACACCATAATCTATTTTCTTTTGAGATTTTCTTTACTTTTATTTTATGTGTATGAATGTTTGCTGAATGAGTCTGTGCACCAGATGCATGCAGCACCCAAGACGACCAGAAGAGGGCATTGTATACCTTGGAACAGGACAGAGGGTTGGGTGCTGGGAATTAAACCCAGATCTTCTGTAAGAGCAGCCAGTGCTCTTAACTGCTAAGCCATCTCTTTAAACCTGTTTAGTGTATTCTCATATAATATCCTTTCTATAGATTTTTATTTAACAGTTTGGTAAGTGTTATTCTTAAGCTTGTACCGTATTTGCTCACTGACTTTACAGTATAAACACTTTTTTTCTATGATTAAAATATTCTCGAATCTTGAATGCCTGCACAATCTTTGATTGTCTGGGTGCACTAAAGCTTGCTGAGCTGTCTTAGCAGAGCATTTAAAAAACCCATTTGCATGTTTGTTTTGTGTGTGTATGTGTGTGGTTTTCAAGAAAGGGTCACATAGTGTTGCCCTGGCTGTCTGGGAACTCACTATGTAGACCAGGCTACCACAGACTATCAGAGATCTGCTTAGCTTTGCCTCCTGAGTGCTAGGATCAAAGTTCTATGCCACCATTTCTGGCTATATACTAATTTTTAAGAGCAGAGCTGTGTGTGAGCTGGCTGTGGCGACACACATCTTCAATCCCAGAGACAGGTGGATCTTGTGAGTTCAAGGACAACCTGGTCTGCATAGTAAGTTCCAGGACTACATAGAGGGACTCTCTCAAAGACAACAACAAAACCTCAAAAAACTACCACCAGCAACAAAACAAACAAACAAACAAACAAACACAAAGACCTAAAGTTAATGTTTTCATAGAAAGTTTTCTATTTTCTGACATTTAAAAGAACAGTTTGCTATGGAAATTTAAAAAACTAAATTTACTTCTCATTGTGTGTATGTGAGTGAATGAGTCATGACACATGTGAAGGTTAGAGGAAAACCGTGGAGTTGATTTTTGTCTGTCCACTGCAGGTTTGGGGTTCCAGTTGTTAGGCTTGTCTGGCAAGCATTTTTACCTGTGTCACAGGTCCTGACACACCCCAGGGGAGACAAAATGAATGAAAGAACTTCCACATACTTTGCATCCA